GGTTTGAACCCACCACCTCCGTATATGGGGCCAGGGCCCTACTCCTTTGAACCACAGGTGCCGCCAACTTCATTAATTCTTGCTGATAATTATTCCTACCTCCTACCCTCAAACCCACCAACGAGAATTGGAAAGAACTCTGTTTCTCAGGTTAAAAATAGTGGTGTGTTAGAGTTTTGCTTGTGTTAGCATATAGGAGCCAGTTATTAAATTTTTAGGAATTTTACAAGCCAGTGGATGTCACAGTGATAGCTTGAAATATTCCATCATCCGTGGAACATTTACACCGTGGAACTAGCAAATGCTATGGATTAGGATTGTTTCTTTCATTTTCTGGAGAGCGTGTTGTTAACCTTTCACTGGCACGTTACTGGCTAGGGACAACAAAGAGAACTAAAGTTAATTTTCTTCTCTTGTCCCTCTTCAAAAGAGGCTGCAGGGTCTGACAAGTTCTGCTATGAGAAGCTGAACACAGAAGGCACCGAGAAGGGTAACTGCGGGAAGGACGGAGACCGATGGATCCAGTGCAGCAAACAGTGAGTGGTCAGCTCTGGGGGAACTGGACTTGAAGCCCTTGTGCAAATGCAAAATGAGCACAAAATAAAAGTGATTGATTTTTGTATGAATGTTCAATTATTCAAAAATTTAAAATATGTATTTTGAAAATACATTACTGTATCTAGAGGCTGTAGCTGTGGACTAAGCTGTTTGCTGTGCCACAGACTCATGCCATTTCTGTAAAATTCAGAAAATTCCTCACATGCTGTGATTCTCCGAAAAGATACTCTGCCAAAGTGTTACAAATTAATATCAGGTTTTAGTTGTCTACTTTTGCTAGAACGTATGGCAAAATACATTTTAGGAGGCAAAATACGTAGGCTATATATATTTTGGGGACCATTCAATGTGAAATAATAACATTTTTGTTCATTTCACAAGTTTAACACCATTTAATCAGACATCTAATGACTATACCAGTTTTTTTCCCCCCATCTGAAAAGAATCTAGTTAGTGGATATTGGAGGCATTTTCCCTCAGGACACATTGGTGATATTTTCCTTTGATTAGGTGAGGAAAGTTAGAAATCTAATTTAGTAGGTTATTAAGGTTAATTCAATAACTTGGGTCTGTGGAATCATTAAGTTATAGGCCAAAGCTCCTCTGTTTTCTTTCCATAGCAAGGCAGATTCTTCTCCCAGTTTTGAAGCGGAGCAAGGCTTTATGGGCAGCTTTATTTCTCTGTTCAGTGATCTCTACATTGTTCTTTGTGGGACTTGACAATTCCAAGTTTTTGATAGAAAGCCTTAAAAGGCAATAAATCTTTGACTGTAATTTCTTTAACATTCAGTGAGAATAATGGAGAACAGAGCTAACCATGGATTATTTTGTAGGTGAGGTGCAGATGTCCCAAGATGCTGACCCCCAGTCCTTAAGTTTCTGAAGAGTAGGAAGAAAGGGGGCCGGAAGCAGTTAGAACCCACGTGGTTGGACTCCTCTGAACTTGATTAGCTGCATTCACTGCCTCCCTGTCCTGGAGAACTGATTACTTCCCTTAGTCTCTGTGCCTTCAAAACATTTGGGAGGCATTGGGTTATTGTAAAAGATAGCCTTGGACTCTGGTAATAGAATCCCCTACCCCTAATGAGTTAAGGAAAATTAGTCATATTTTTTTTAAGACTTTAAAAAATCATGAAGGCTAATACATAAACAGACAAGTGAGTGACACAAATATACATTTTACTGAGTAATTATGAAATGAACTGCTATGTAACCCCTTCCTGGGTCAAGAACTAGAACATGACGGTTCCCCAGAACTAACGTACCTTCCCAGTTCCCTTCTGTCTCACAAGTACCTCCATCCTGACTTTTGTGGCAGTCGCTCTCTTGCCTTTTTTCAAAAACAGTTTTAGTGCCCAAGTTTTTATCTATAATATTTCATGTATCGTTTTGTATTTTGCTTCTTAAATTTAGCATTTTATAAGTTTCCTGTGGTGTGTATAGCTGCCTGTTCATTTTTGCCGTTCATTCCTTTTATTTTCTCTATGCACCTATGACTGTATTACCGTGTAGTGCTCCATTCCGTGTTGGTGAACACTGGGGTCCCTTCCTTGCTTTGCCTCTCAGGAACATTCTTAGGCACGTACGTTTGCACACGTTTCTCTAAGGCCTGTACCTGGTAGAAAAGTTGTCCTGGGAATGTATATTTTCAGTGTCATCAGATGATGTCAAACTACTTTCTACAATGACTGCCTTAGTAGACTCTACCGTCAGCGTTACGTACATAAGAATTCTGTTGTACCTCATTCTCACTAATACTTGGTATTGTCAGACTTTCTAAATTTTTACTAGTCTGGCAAGCGTGACTGGCTGAATTAGTCTGCTTTTAATATGTATTTCTCCATATTACAAATGGACTTTACCACATTTGCATACATGTATTGGACCTGGATTTCCTTTTTTTTTTTTTGTTTTTAGAGACAGTCTCACTTTATTGTCCTTGGTAGAGTGCTGTGGCATCACAGCTCACAACAACCTCCAACTCCTGGGCTTAGGTGATTTTCTTGCCTCAGCCTCCCAAGTAGCTGGGACCACAGACGCCTACCACAATGCTCAGCTATTTTTTGTTGCAGTTTGACTGGGGCTGGGTTTGAACCTTCCACCTTTGGTATATGGGGCTGACACCCTACTCACTGAACCACAGGCGCCGCCCTTGGATTTCCTTTTTTGTGATGGGCCACGCACGTGCTTTAGGAGTTGTCATTTATTTAACAGATAGACTGGAGGTGACACCCTCTTGGTGAGTTATTTAACAGTGTCACCTGGGACCCAGGCGATTTCCACCTCTCTGCTCTGTAATCCTTAGTGTGTTGAGGTTTTATCCTCATGCTGTGGACTCAGGACTATGAGGTGGATGCAGAAGCTACACATTCAAGGGTGGGAAGTAGGAATAGGAAAAAAAGGTCTCCCTGTCAGTCTCTACCTTTTATCCAGAAAGCAGGGTCCCCTCAGAAATCCCAGGCTGGCTTTTCCTCATATCTTTCCCAAGGGCCACTTTTAACTCTAGGCAGGAGGGAGGGGGGGCATGAGTAGGAAAGTGGGGGGAGACTAAGTCAATGCCATCACCAGCTTAGGTACTAGACATAACCCGTCTTTCAGGGGTGGGCACTTTGCTGCCCCAAACAAAACCATGATCTTCTTACTAAGTAAAGAGGGGGTTATAGCCAGCCAAGGATATCTGAACAAGTGATTTTGCTTAGAAGACATGAGATATTTAAATTTTTAAATATGCTTGGACTGAATAATTTTGATTTTTTTGACTTGTCTGTCTTTCTTTTTTTAACATGTTCAGTGATGTGTTCTGTGGATTTTTACTCTGTACCAATCTTACTCGAGCTCCACGGATTGGCCAACTTCAGGGTGAGATCATCCCAACTTCCTTCTACCATCAAGGCCGGGTCATTGACTGCAGGTAACATATGATATGTTGAAAAACCTAATAAAATTTGAGAATTACAAAATTAAAAAAATTAAAATTTGAAAAGAACAATGATCAATGATATTTTTAGTTCTTACAAGAGGAAAGTTGGCTTAGATTTTATTACCTGCTTTCATGTTGAGAGTAAATTTAAAAGGAGTTATATACTGATTTGAAAATCACATTTGCTCAAAATTTTACTAGTTGTTAGTAAAGAGACTTGCAATCATAATCTTTAGAGCAGAATTATGATACTTATTTTAAGCTGTAGTTAAAGTTTTTGAGCAATGGAAAATGGCATTCTTTGAACACTATGTTCAAGTTATTTCTCGTTTTGGAATTTTAAAAGTATAAGTCATGCACTAAAGTGCGAGAGAAAGTGTTTCAGTCCATGATGGACTGCACATGTGACAGTGGTCTCTTAAGATTATAATACCATAATTTTTACTATACCTTTTGTGTATTTAGATACACAGATACTTACCACTGTGTTAGAGTTGCCTACTATATTCAGTACGGTCCCTTGCTTTGTAGGCCTGTACCCTAAGAGCAGTGGGCTATACTGTGTAGTGAGCTATATTATCTGGGTTTGTGTAAGTAAATATAACGTCCACACAATGTTGAAATCACCCAATGACATGTTTCTTAGAACTTAACCTGTCATTAAGTGAGGCATGACTGTAAATATTAATAGAAAAGAACTAGATTTTTTTTGATGATGGATAATTAAATCCTCTGAAGTAATAATAATAATTTCCTTTTGTTGTTTTCCCCAATATCTGCTTTTTTTCTACACATGTGAAAGCTTTGGAGAACTAATGCCATGCTTGCTCCTGTTGTTCTCCTACACACACCTCCTCCCCTGCGCTTTCCGTGGGTCTTGAAAACAAGTGAAGATTTAGAATACACTTCATACGAATGACATTTTTTCCTGATGATGTGCAGTGTAATAATGAAAATGAAAGGTAGTTTCTTAATGCTCTTTTATTAATGAGAGGTGAGAAAGGGGAAGAGAAGAATGAGAAAACGCTGGGAGAAACTTAGGTCCACTGACAGTCTCTTTAATTTCAGGAAGAGCAAGCCTCATGGTGATGTTCTATTTCTAAATATGGTGCTAATGGTTGATGGATATTTTCTCCTTTTAGTGGTGCTCATGTAGTTTTAGATGATGATACAGATGTGGGCTATGTGGAAGATGGAACGCCATGTGGCCCGTCCATGATGTGTTTAGATCGGAAGTGCCTACAGATTCAAGCTCTAAACATGAGCAGCTGCCCACTCGATTCCAAGGGTAAAGTCTGTTCAGGCCACGGGGTAAGTAGGTGTCAATGTTCTAGCTTGAACCTTCGTTAGTGGGTATCCTCCAAGTTCACGGTCGTTAGACTTCTAGTTCTGCCATCCCCATGTTATTGCTGTTGTTAATACTGATTATGATAATTTTCTCCATACCCTTATCTGCTAAGAATAAACCTTATGTTAATATAGCTTTACTTTTGTCATTTCTTTTATTGCTGGCTATTTGTACTCTCCATATTTGCCAGATATAATTTGACATCTGTATTAGTCAATGTTCTCCAGAGAGCAGGACAAATTAGAGATTAATCTATATAGACATAGCTGGGGGCTTCCCGCTTGGATTCCCCAACCACTGCCAGAGGTTCTCTTCCCCTCCTTTGCTTTCCCCTCTTTTGCTGATCATGCTTATCAATCTTGCCATCAGTAAACGCTCTCCTATTGCTTAAAAAAAAAAAAAATATATATATATATATATAAATATAGCTATATACAGTATATGTAAAAAGAGATACGTGATAAAGAACCGGCCCACTTGGTTATGGCGGCTGAGTACTACAGTCTGCTGTCAGTAGGCTGGAGACAGTCCGAGTACAAATCCTTGAGAACCAGCAGAGTTGATAACGTAAATCTCATCACCTGGTAAGAGGAGATGAAGTGTCCCAGTTCATCCAGTGAGGCAGAGAAAAAAGGGAGGCAGGTTCTTCCCTTCTTCTTTTTGTCTCTAGGCCCTCAATGGGTTGGATGATACATACTCACATTGAGAAGGGCAGTGAATTTTATTATAGAATCTCCTGATTCAAATGCTAATCTTATCCAGAAACATCTTTACAGACATGCCCAGAAATCAAGTTTAATCTGGACCTACTCTCCTTGACACATAAAGTGAATTATCACAATATCTAGAGTTGGAGGAAAACTGATATGATTCCTAAGGGAACCCCGGGTGACTATTTTGTGCTATTCAAAGCCACTTAAACAGGGCCATGTCCTGTGGTTCACATCTGTAATCCTAGCACTCTGGGAGGCTGAGGCAGGTGGATTGCCTGCTAGGTTCGAGACCAGCAAGAGCAAGAGCCAGACCCCATCTCTAAAAATAGCACTTTCAAAATTTATATAGACTTCAGAAATGGAATAAAGATATGTGAAGAAACTGAGAATATTAATATAAAAGGCAGATGCTAGAATAGAGGTAAGAATAACCCAGAATAGACAGGCACATGATGCAGGACATGGAGCAGGACAAGGCCCGAGAAGCTTGTGTCCAGCTGCAATCCAGAGTTTCTGTTCCGGTTGAATCATGGGCTCATGGAGGCTGGATAGCTTAGTGATTGAGAAGATGCGTTTGGGAGGCAAGGAAGGATCCTGGCATTGTATCCTGGCTCTGCTTCTTGCCATCTCATTTGACTTTGCTCAAACCACTTAAATGTCTCTCAGCCATTACAGTGCTGGTGTGAGGATTACATGAAATCTTTGCATAAAGCATTTAACAGAGGTATGCAGCGCACAGCAAGCGCTCAGCAATTGCTACATTAAAGTGAAATCACCAGGCAGGCTCTTCAGTTATTTCAGTTTTTGCTCTGAAAACATAACACTTAATGCATACAAAGGCCCTAAGTTCTTGTTCACTCCCACTCCCACTTTCTCATCTATTAAAGAAAAAAACAAAACACAGTCAGCCTTGTTAATCATAATCCTTGCATTATAGCATTTAAGATTATAAAAAGCTTCTAAGTTTCACTTTATCATCTCTAAAAATCTGTCTCTGAATGTGTTTCACAGGGAGATAAGGGCTTGGGTGGTTTGGTTTTTGTTTCCATCTAAATTACAAGTCCATTCCAGCATGCTGCTGGGTGCCCAGAGAAAGAGAGCAGAGAAAGATCACTCTGAGGTCTCCAGCCTGGCCGGCTGAGAGCAGAAGGAACGACCATTGGCAGGGAAGGCAGGGGGGTGCTTGTTTGGCACAACAGATGAGTTTGATGTTTGATGCAATAAGATAACATAGCACACTGGTGACTTGTGTCTCCTGGTCTTTTTACCTCTGCCAGAGTCTCTTGAGCCCAATATTCATTGAATTAAGCATTTCTGTTTTTAAAGTGTGTTTCTAGAAGCAGCTACTTCTGAAAAAAAAAAAAAAACACAGACTACCATGTCAAACATTTGCGTACATAATTAACATCAACACAAATCGTTCAGATTTAAGAATTTTCTTATTTATTTTTCTATAATTAATGGAAAGATAATCGTTCAGCAATTTAGTCTTTGTATCATTTCCTCTTGTCTAGTGCTCAAAACCATGGGAAACTTTATAAAAATATTTTGAATGGTTTTACAGCTTCCTCTCCCTGTCCCCTGTGTCATTTTTACTTGCATCACCATTACCTTACAAAGCACAGTGAAGATGCCCCACCGCTGTTCTTTTTCTTCACAGGTGTGTAGTAATGAAGCCACCTGCATCTGTGATTTCACCTGGGCTGGGACAGACTGCAGTATCCGGGATCCAGTTAGGAACCCACACCCCCCCAAGGATGAAGGACCCAAGGGTTTGTGTGATTTCAGTTTCAATTCATGGCATACGGAATTCATTGTCACTGCTCCAGCACACCATTATAACTCTTTAATAGATTTGAGAGGGAACACATTAGAATATCTCTTTTTACCATTAAAATGTATAATTCATGTTACTGTAGAATTAAGTGTTCTATATATATCATATCTTAAAAATGTGTTTGAATTACCGCTCTGTCTACAGCTGAGATTAGGAAAAAGTAAATACACCCATTTCCTTTAAGATAGTTTTTTCCTCCTTTAATCATCATTCTTTTTCTATATTCACAAAATGCTAATTACATTATAGTTTGTCTAAGGCGGTATGCAACTTTTCTAGTAGCTGAAATCTTTTTCCATGACATGAAACTCTGGTCATTTCTCCATAGTTGAATCCATTTAGAGAGAAGCTGTCACCTTCCAAGCTCTTTTTAAATACTCACTTGATTAGGAAGGAGTTGGAATTTTTCACAGAACTTTAATTGTTCAAGAAAAATGTGAAAGATCTGTACCTTTGTTTTAATGGATCATTAAGAGGAGAGAAATCAGAATTTTAGAATTAGAAGGAATCTCAGTGACCACGTAGGACCATGTTGTGATTTTGCAGATGAGAATGCCTGGGCCCTCAGCTCAGGTGACACCCTATTCAGGGAATAAGAGGAAAGTGGGGATCTCAGGGCCTGATCTCAGACGCATGCTCTCTGCTATTCCATCATGTATCATCTTACAATGTAGTATGCCGCAGTCATTGTCTTCTTATTTTTTACTTTATTTTATTTTTTTAGAGATAGAGTCTTACTTTATTGCCCCCTTGGTAGAGTGCTGTGGTGTCACAGCTCATAGCAAGCTCCAGCAGCTCTTGGGCTTAGCGATTCTCTTGCCTCAGCCTCCCAAGCAGCTGGGACTACAGGCGCCTGCCACAACGCCCAGCTATTTTTTGCTGCAGTTTGTCTGGGGCTGGAATTGAACTCGCCACCCTCCGTATATGAAGCCGGCGCCCGACTTGCTGAGCCACAGGCGCTGCCCATCGTTTTCATCATTTCCTTCTTATTCTCCCCATTACCAACCCCAAGATGATTCTCACATATCTAGAAAAGCCATCAGTCACAATAGGCTTACTACAGAATCAATAGCCTATACTTGAAAAACCAAAAAATTACTAGAACAAATTTAGATACGTGGCAGTGACAGTGTGCATCAGCTTCTTTTTCATGGTCCTGCTAATGGTACTTTGTAAGTAACCGCCGTGCTTTCCTCCTACAGGTAGGAATAGTATGAGAGCGATCAGCTTAGCTTTGGATGAAAGTTCATTTAAACTGTCTGAACATCAGTATAGTCCACATGGGAAAATAGGACTTGAAAGGCATATGAAGCTCTCCAGTCCTCAGTTCCTGAAGAGACTCAGGCTGATTCGGGTGCATGTGAATTAACAGCTAACAGGGGTGTGTTAAAACACATTCTCGGCATTTGCTTAACGTGGCCGTGATACGAAGATTCTATAAGAATCCCAACCACTCCCTCTCAGTCTATTCTTGTTCCCCTCCTAGTTCTAAAAGGGAACGTATTCCACTTTTATACTTAGGCTTTTGTTACTTTAGAACACAAACGTCTTGGATCCACCTTCTAAAGTTAGATTTGGGGAAGATTTAGGCTCTGATAAGAGAGGCAGAGGTTCATTCTTTCCATAATTTTTTTGTTTAAGATTTAGATGCTGTTTCCTCAAGTGGTGGCATCTTGCCTGAACAGATGAGCAGAGCTGAATTTACCTAGACCGTGCCCCTTTTTTAGGAACAGTAGGGGATTGTTAATTGTTCTTCTGTCTATTTTCCATTCCTTCGTCCTCCCATCCCTAGAAAAGTTATTTGGGAGGCATGAACCACTATGTTCTATGGAAAAGGACGCTCACAGCTGCCATTTAACATGGTGGTGGTCTGTACTCTCTTTTTCTAAAAAAAAAAAACAGAACTTTTTCAGTCATTCAAGTAAGACATGCTGATTATAGAAACTTTTGAAAATACAGAAAAGATTAGAAAGAAAATTAAAATCACCCTTAATCTCACAACTTAGAGGTAATCATTATAAGCAGTCCAACATACTTCTTTCCTATTGCATGTTTTAATTTTTCATTCTTAATGAAGACAATAGAGTCGTTTAAAAATTTTGAAGTCATTTAAAAATTCTTGAAATGCTTATGAATTTCTAATAATTTTGATTAAGTTGAAAATATGTCATTCAATAAACAGTTATTTAAAATATTACATTCCCAGAAAAATCAAAAATTTTAGTATAGTGAAACCTCTGTCTATAAATATTTATCTATTTATATTTTTGCTGCCTCTAGAGAAAACTATTTTAATGTGCTAGTGAAATGGGAAACAACAGATATTAAACATTTTAAAGCTTTGTTGTAGATTTTACAGTTTTAATTTTGATATTCAGGTTAAAAGAAGATGCTAAGTGAGAAACGATATACTTTAAGTTTAGTCCATTTAGCAAGTATTTATTGGATGTCTACTATTTAAAAGGTAGCACATCTTTGGCACACAATAGGCACTTAATAAGTATCATATCCTTTCCCTTTATATAAAGGAAATGAAATGCATCGTAGTGCTGATTTTCAGTTTATGTATATCCATGCCTTGATGAAGAGTAATAGGTAATGAACTCAAAATGCTGTAACAATTAGTTCAACAGTGTGGGCGGTGCCAGGGTTTTCCTTAAAACTGCCCGCTGTGTGTTTTTTCTCACGATCCATCAGTTTACTTGGCAGTTGCCTTATTGGGCACAGTGTTTGGGCCCTCCCCAAATGTTCACCACATATAATGAGTGACACCCATGATGGTCTAGCTGCCAGTCACATCCTAGACAAAGGTTTTCTGTATTGATGGAGTGAGAGGGTATTGGAAATGTTTAGTTTTAATTTCAATGTGCTTCTTTGATAGGGAAAAAAATTCAAAAATCATAATAAAAATATTACCCTGTATATAATGAATATGAGCAGCAAAGATAAATTGTACCCAATTGCCCTTTGGATCAAGACTAAATTAGCAAAAATACAGGCAAATTCTGTGACTCTGTTTTCATTGATTGGAGAATGTCAGAACAAACCCATGTGTTTGGGGGTTTTCTTTTATTTAGCTATAAGTTCCTAGGAGAATAAAATATTCAACCTATCTGTTGGAGTAGGGACTAACAGCATACCTGAAAGGATTACTACTGTGATCACTCTGCACTTAACAAAACTTGTCTCCATCGACCCACAGCTTAAAGCATGCTAGATTATTCACTCCAGCTTCTCAAACCAAATTATTGAAAGGATCTCAAAACATAAACCACGTGAGCAAAGATTTTTTGAAAAGATTTCTATTCCATATCACTTTATTTTTTTCTGCATCGTCATTTATTTCACATCTGAAAATTCTTCTAGCCTCTCATTTCCATTAAAATCATGGAAGGAGATTATTTTGGTTTATTCTACAAGAATAGAATTTATTCCAACTCTATTAGAAGATCTAGAATTTCCACCTATTATAGGGAGATCCTTGTCAAGTATCTTTAATTTTTGTCAATTCATAATCTTCTCGCGGTGTTAATTAGGGAATATGATGGAACCTTTCTCATTTGATGGTTTTTACATCACCATTATAAAGGGAAGAGAAGAAACTGGATCACGCCAGCTGTTGTCAGTGATGTGTACAGGCAGAGACATCATTTCTGGGAAGCTTTGGTCGGACCTTTTCACCATGATCATCGTCATCAAGTCAGAGATAGAAAGGGCCTGAAGCAGTTCAGTCCAAACTTGCCATTTCACCATTGAAAAGATTATCAGCATTAACAGCCAGTTAGTGGCAGAGCCAAAAATAAAGTGTAATCAACTGATCTTGAGCCAAATACTTTTTCCTGTTATACCACTCTGCCTCATTTTAAGCTGAGTATTAAGTTATTCTACTAGTTCTTATGACACAATAGTAAGTAGACAGGGCAAAACAATAACAAAGTAATAATCAAGCTTATTAGCTGACCATTACTTATTCATGGTTGTTTTTATAAAGTTAGAGAAAAAAGTATTGTATTAGTAGCAGTTAGTATTTTTAAAATACTAGCTTTTAAGTCTTGCTTTCTAAGGTATTAACCTTGAGGAGTATTCTTTCCAAGTTACTTTTTACAGTGTATCTTTCTGGTAACTTTGTGAGTATACAAATTGTTGATTTTGTAGTTCAGAGAATTAGATATGAGAAGTTATACTTATCACGTATGATATGCTCATGTAGAACTATGTGTCACCCAGGCATCTTTCTCATTAACAATGACTCAACAATAACTTAAGGATTTGTCAAGTTTTAAAATTTAAAATTTAAAAAATTTTTCCAGGACCAGTTGCAGTGGCTCATACCTGTAATCCTAGTACTCTGGGAGGCCAAGGCAGGTGGATTGCCTGAGCTCACCAGTTCAAGACCAGCCTGAGCCAGAGCAAGACCTTGTCTCTAAAAATAGCTGGGCATTGTGGCAGGTGCCTGTAGTCTAGCTATGTGGGAGACTGAGGCAAGAGGATCACTCGAGCCCAAGAATTTGAGGTTTCTGTGAGCTGTGATGCCACAGCAGTCTACTAGGTGCAAGAAAATGAGACTCTGTCTCAAAAATAAATAAATAAATAAACAAATTTTCAGTAACCATGAGTTTATTTTGCTTCAGTTCAGAAAAACTCCCTACTTTCATGGACAGCATAAACTGTCTGAAATATATTCTATTATGAAATGATTTATTTTGCATCCTTTTAGACATTTTTCCATGTATCCAGAAATGAACTTGAAATATTTCTTTTATTTTATGGACAAGGGTAAGGAGATTTGATTGTATGTCTACCATTGAAATATAGAGCTGGATGCCAATTCTATCATGAAAAGTATAAAGCATTTATTAATATTTACTTCTAGTCTAGATTTTCTTTTCTTTCTTTCTTTTTTTTTTTTTTTTGAGATAGAGTCTCCCTTTGTCA